CCCACCCCAAGACTAACCCAAAACCCCAAACGTTGCTTAACTTCCCTGATGGACAGAAGGGGTGTGTTCAAGGGTTATGGCCCTTGCTGTCCCCCTTTGTTTCTGCCCTGATCTTTTTGTCTTTATTTATAATTTCTTTAAAAGCCTTTAACATTACTGTTCCCCAAACCCCAAATGTTTTCAACCCCTTGTTTTCCCCACACAACACCCATACCTCTATCTTCCCCAGTTTTTTAAAAAAATAGGCATTCACCAATGGCCTTCCATCGGTTGCAATGCTCCACCCCCCCCAGAGAGATTACCCCTCCCCTTTCAACAACTGTTTCCATAAAAGTGTTCCCTTTTCAAAAGAATGGATTGCAATTCCTTTCAGTATTGTCAGCCACAATTTTCACAATTGCCCTAGACAACCTTTTTTTCCTATCCCCCTTCTAGGCAAGTGCAATATGATTGGGATCCCTCCCTTGCTTAATAAATCATAGCTGACCGTACTTTTTTGGGGACCCTTTTTTACCCTTCCCAATATCATTTCCACCAACAGTAACAAAAATGGCTTTTTCCCCTTACCTACATATATTACCAGCCTTGACAATGTCCCCAAACCACTCCAGGGGAAACACACTCTTTCTCTCTCTTTTATTCCTATTTTCAAAAAGCCGGGCATAATCTTACCGAACACCAACCACAAAGGCTTACCTCCCCTTAGCAGGGGGAGTAATACCCTTACCTTCATGGGCCCCTGAATAATTCATCCTGAAGAACAGAGAACGATTTCCACCTTTCCCAAACTTCATCCTAAATTTCCTTACTCTGATGCCCTCCCATTTCTGTGAACCACTCCCACTTGTAGCGGGGGGACTGACCTCACTGCTGGTCCCCCTAACTCCCCCAATACGCCTCCTCACAGCGAAGACAACTGCACCCACTGCAAAGCCTCATTCCCCCAACCCGCCCCCTCACACTCTCCCCAGACCCATTGAGGGACCTTCACCTTTTAATCTCCTCCGAGAACAAGACCCCCTTCAAATCTCCAACCCAATTTTAAAACACTGCAGAACAAGCCCTGCTTTGTAACCGTCCCCACTAACCCCAAAGCAGCATCTGTGCTTATAGCTACAATTACAGTGTAATGAACCATAATTACAAAGGGAACGAAAACCCCAATTTACAAAGGAAGAACCCAGGGGAGGTCTAGTCACAATTATGACAAGTTAAAAAATATTTACAGATTACAAGGTAGTAATGGGGCCCGGGGCTCTCCAAATTTGATAGCTGAATATACAAAGGGAATGAACTCACAAGTTACAAAGGTAATAATCCTGTAAGAATGGGTTTCTTACGTTTTTTACGGGTACAAATAACAAATCCAGAGTAATGAGCAATTCACCTTTCCCCCACCCGGGCACAACTGTAATGGTTTTTGGTGCAAATGTTTATTTTTGAGTCACACCAAAACACACCCACACACACCACAACACACACACACACACCACACACACACACACACAACCACACAAGATCTGGAGGGCTAAAAGATGGAGGTGGGGACTGGAAAACTTCATGTACCAACACGTAAGGGACACTACAAAGAGAGAGAGGAGAGGGTGAACCCGCAAGGCTGGCTTTGTATTCCCTTGAGTTGCAGATAACGAGGCATCAAATGAAAACCCCTTGGGGCCCGTGACCATGTGGGTTTTAAACTTTGAATACACAGTAGAGTACAAGGGAGGGAGAACAGGAAAGGGCCCGGGCGAAGAAGCCAAACTACAAGAAAGGGATTCACAGGATTTAGGAACTTCCTGAATGGGGTTTAGTGGACAGAAACTGGGAGGGGAAACCAGTTTTAAAGAGAGTGGAATATGTACAACAAAAGCAAAAAAGCTGAGGGGAGTTTGTACCCAAGGGTAACAGGAAAAAAAAAAGCCCGGTGGCCCATGGTTTACCCAAAAGGGGCAGGGGGGCAAAAAACCAAGTGTGCTAGGGAATGGAAAAATATAAAGGGAAAGGGCCCAGGGGAATAAGGAGACGTCGTAAACCAGAAACGAATATGCACAGATAAGAAGGGGGGCCCAAAAAACAATATGAAATGACATAGCGCGAAAGCCAAATCTGACCCGAAACTGTTGTACACCCCATAAGGAAAACAAAAAGTCGGGCCAGGTAATCAGGGAAAGGGAAGGGAAAGGAGGAAAACCAAAATGACCGTGAAGATGTGAGGAACTCAACAAGAATTCAAAGAAAGGTTTACAGAGGAGAAGAAAAGGGGGTCCCAAAAAACGGAGATGGGGGACACCACCTTTTGCTGGGGCACCTGCGAAGTAAGAGGTTTTTGGTGAGCTAGAACATCAAAGGCAATGGGGGCCAAAAATCACTCCCCATGGGGAATGAGAGAGGGAGCAGAGTGCTATGTGACCCCAACAAAAATATTCAATACATCTACGAAACAGGGAATTTCCTGAGGGAAGACACAAATGTAGTCCCCCTCTTTAAAAAATGAGACAGAAGAAACTTTAAAATAGACCAGTGTCAGCCGTAATATGCAAAATCATGGGAAGTTATCAGGGGAAAAAGTGGTAACACCAAAAAGGAATATCCATCAACAGCAGCCAACATGGTTTTTAGGGACGGAAATCCTGTGTCCAACCCCATGGAGTTCTGGGCAGGGGTTCCCGACCACCGGGCTGTGGCTGACTTGGTTTTTTCGTGCAGCCAGCACAACAGCCTGGTTGATCGGCTCTGGATCCACCAGGAGGCCTGGGCACAGACCGGGGCCCGGGGGGTTGCCCCCGGAACTCTCTCCAGGGGGAAAAATCCAGGTCCAGGTGGTACAGCATAAGGGCAAGAGAGAGGGGTGGGTGGATTGCAACTTGGACTGCAAGAAGCGTTTTACAAGAAAAGAATTGGGGAAAAATGGGGAAAGGGGGAAAAGGGAAGGGGATAAAGGTCAGGGGAAACTTGGGGGAGGGTCATGGTAGGGGGGTGAAGGGTGGACCCCGGGGGGGACAGGGTAGAGGGGGGGGGCTGTTTTGGTTTGTGAAACAGGGGAAAAAAATCTGGGTGTTGTTGGTGGTGGTTATGGGGAAAAAAAATTATTAAGAAAAGGGGAATTGGGGGGGGGTGAGGGGGTTGAAGGTCCCCGGGGTTTAAAAACCGGGGAAGCGAAAATTTGGGGGGGAAAGAAGGAGGGGGTAAGTCAGGGGGAGGTTTACTAAAAAAGGGGTTTGGGGGGGAGGGGATAACAAGGGAATTTGAAGGAGAAAAATAAGTGAGAATTGGGGCCAGAAATAAAAGGGGTTGAATTTTGGAACGTTCAGGGTGTTGGTGTTTAGGCCCCCAATTTGGGTTGGAAAATTTGGAACCCCCCAAATGAAGGTGAAAAGGAAAGTGCAAAGGGGGGGGGGGATAGGAGTGAGGGGTGTTAGAGGAGGTTAAGGGTCAACCTGACGGGGTGGAGGAAGGAAGATTTTGGGGGGACTTTTTTAAGACATAAAAATCGGGGGTTTGGGGGGGAAAAAAAGGTGAGGAATTTGGGAACTTTAAAAGGGGGTTTGGGTTGAAGGGAAAGTGAAAAGGGGGGGGGAAGATTTTTTGCCAAGGTTGATAAGTGGGGTGTTTTGGGGGTGAGTGGGGCGGTCCTACATGTTTGAAGGGAAAGTCTTTGGGAATGACCCCTAGGATCATGGGAAAAGGGGGGAGGAGGGGGATGACCCCCCAAAACCCCCGGGGGGTAAAAGGGGTCAAAAAAAAAATCCAAAAAACCCCCCCCAAAAAAAAAAAAAAACCCCCCAAAAATGTAAAAACCCCCCCCCCAAAAACCCAAAAAACCCCAAAAAAAAAAAAAAACCCCAAAAAAAAAAAATTTGGGGGGGTAGAAAAAGGGGTAGCAATAATTTTTAAAATATTTGAATAAGAATAAATTTTTTTCATGGTTTTTTAGTTTAAATTAGTAAAAATTAAAATATTTTTGTTTGGGGTTGGAAAATAAAGTTCTTGTTTTGGAGGTGTTTTTAAGATTTTGTGAAATTAAAATTTTTCAAAAATTTTAAGAAAAAAAAAATTTTGTTAAAAAAAAACAGGACTTAAAAATTGGTCTTGCAAGGGGTTTTTTAATTTGGGAAATTATTTAATTTTAATTATTAAAAATATTATTAATTTTAATTTTTTTTTTTTTTTTTTTTTTTAAAAGTGGGGTTCCAACCAGGGGGTGCCCCAAAAAAGGGAAAAAAAACCCCCAAAAAAAAATACTTTTTCCCATTCAAAAACAGCACAATTTTAGTTTTTTGCAGAGGTGCTCAGAATACAACAGTCTAGAAGCATACACATATAAAGATACACAACATATCCCTCCAAACTGCCAATATCCCAAACCCTCCTTTAAAGTATATATATATATATATATATATATATATATATATATATATATATATATATATATATATATATATATATATATATATATATATATATTATATAGTTTCTATATTACTTTAAGGTGTGTCATTCTACTCCAACTTGATGGTATTCACATGCCTTGCAACCTACAATTAGTGTTTTTCACGGATAAAATGTATGACCAATATGGGTTTAGCGCTCTCCCCATAAATATGATGATATTACATAAAGTTTACTAAAGTTTATATTGAAGTTTGCATGAGTTTATATTGAAGTGAGAAGTGTGAAGTACTGGATAAAGGCATGCTAAGTGCAGCCACTCATGTTGATCATGATAAAACGGTAATATAATTTATCAATATAATTTATCATTGTAAGACTCTACTATCACTCATGTTGATAAAATATGAAATGGTTATAATCATAGCCATAATTTTTAAAGGGATGGACCGGTAAGCCAGAGGAAGGCCTCCGTCAAATGACCAAAAGCTCCAGTGGCGGGTCATCATGACTAAGACCCACTTCAGGAAACACTTGTACAGTTCTCTGACAAATCTTACCTAACCTAACTTATGTTGATCATGGTAAAAGCGTGTTGTATTACTCACGTTATTCTTCTGCACGTGAGTATAGACGTTGTGTTTATCGTTGCCGTAGTTGTTAGGATGGGAACTGAACATGGTGGGATCAGCGACGTAGAGAGGGTGTTTGATGAGGTTATCACTATACTGATGATGTGCTGGTACACGCTGGTACCTGTTTAGTCTCATGGTACCTAACACACTTGAGCTTCCCATTTCCCCGGGGAGCACAATATACCTGTAAGAACAACAGTGGTTATTAGCTTATATACACTTTTCATCCACACTAGCTGATCTAACGCAACTTGGGCTCTGCTCCGTGAACAACCATCCTTCAAGGGAAGAGGCCTTGATTCCCTATCATTCCTGGGATCAAGCCTGATTACCTCCCATTCCCAACAACTGTATGACTCTTGGTTTAGCACTTCCTTTTAATATATAAAATAATTATGTAATAAAATATTCCTATTGATAAAAAAAAAGAATGAAAAGTGGAATATTCAAGCGGCTTCAGGAAATCCAAATATTCTTCCTTGAAACCTTTTTATCCACTTCTCCGAGGCTATGGGTCCCACAATTTACACCAGATATTATATTATATTATAGGGGCCCCCATCCTATAATATAATATCTTTATTTCTACAAGTACATGTACAGGGTATACAGACCTAGCTCACATCAGTGACATACTACTACGTATATAGAAAGCCGCTTGTTTTACAGAGCATTTTGGGCAAATTAGGTTTTTGTCCCAGGATGCTGCCCACACCAGTCGACTAACAACCAGTACCCATTTTAAATTGACGGGTGAACAGGGACAGCAGGTGTCTTATGGAAATACGTCCCTAATGTTTTCCAGCCGTACCGGAGGAGATTCGACCTCCGGACCTCAGTGTGTGAGTTGAGTGCGCTAGCGGTCGAGCTACGGGACACCTGAAAATGATCCTAAAAATAAGAGATAAAAATAGTTAAGCGTGTAACTGATTCTTGATCACCATGATTACTTGACCATCATGGTTACTTACCTGAAGGATATATGAAGGACGTTTCCGGGGTTAATGCCTCCTCGGCCCTGTCCAAGACCAGGCCTCCTGAAGGATCAAGACTAAACGAATCAGGCTGTAATTGCTGGCTGTATGCAGTCCCACGTACGAACCACAGCCTGACTAGTCAGGTGTTAGTAATTCCCCTAATGCATGGGAAGAGGCGTTTAAGAGTTGGGAGACCTCTGATACTCATCGAATTCTCTTAAGGCACTTGTCGAGACCTTGCTTTTTAATGGAGGTATTTTAGATTGTCTGCAAAGTCTACTGTCATACGGAATGATTTCGGTGTTCATGTTCGGAACCAGTCCCTCCACGATTTTCCAGGTATAAATTATTATGTACCTTTCTCGCCTATGTTCCCAGGAATACAGCTGAAGGGACTTGTGGAAAATTGCATTTATCTGAATGTATCTTATCTATAACAATAAATGAAATGATAATTTTTTATTCATCCCTCCCACGTCATACCACAATTTTCTTGGCCCTATTAATTTACCAATAAAAAGTATAACCGGAATTGGAAATTTAAAAAAAATTTTTGTGGCTGCATATTAAAAAAAAAAAAGGGTTTATATATATACACAATTAATAACAAAGGAAAATATATCTAATTTTTCACTCCCCAATTTGACTGGGATTAATGTGTCTTTAAAGGGACCCCCCCCTTTGCCTATATTTTGAAAAATTTTTACTGGCCAAAAAATTTAAAAATAATTTAGCAGCGGGGTTTCCTGGGTTTTTCCTGTCCTGTGCCTGATTTCCAAATTTGCAAATCACACCAACAATTTCGCCTCCTATTTGAGAGGTGCAGCCCGATTTTAACCTCTAGAGCACGAAAATTCTTCCCCATTTTTAAAAAAAGTGTTATTCAATTCAAAAAATGGCGATCCCCTTCTGTGCAGACGCGGGCTTTCCCATTTTCTATGACAAATTTTTATTAAAAAATTATGGGTCATCTTTTTTAACCTAAAAATTACCGTATTTTGGGAAAATATAAATTTTTTTCCACACTGGGGCCGGGCGGAGGTCTTTGAAAATGACTCAAATTGCTCATTTGACAATGGGGGAAAGACCTGGGTACAAAGGGACTGGTCCACACGGCAATATTAACAAGATTTAACCCCTTTTTTACACTTTGCGCCTTGGGAATCCAGAAAGTTTCCCTAATACAATTTAAAGGTTCTTGTACCCCACCATCATTACATTTTTAAAGGCATTTAGAACAATTAAATTTTTTAGATGATGATTTTGGGCAGTAAAAGGGGCTTTAGCGTAACACCCCAATTCAGCATTTTTAACCACCTTGCACCAATTTACATTGTTACCTGGGTTTTTCCGGGAGAGAGTTTGGGGGTCAACCCCCCCCGGCCCGGTCTTGACCAGGCCCCTGGTGGATCGCGCCTGATAAACCCGGGCTGTTGCTGCTGGCGCACGAAAAACCAAACGTACGAGCCACCCCCGTGATCGGAACAAAATTTGGGTGCTTGTCCAGGCCACTTGAAGACTGCCAGGGGTCTGTTGGAAAACCCCCTTATGATGGGGGGAGGCAGTTGACAGTCTGGGCCCCTGACACTTTTTTGTATGGTCTTTTAAAACTGTAGTGCACCCTTTTTTTCTTTGGGGGGATGGGCATCGTCTCCCAAAAGTTTTTGCTTTCGAGGGGTGATTTTCGGTGCCCCAATTTCTCTATTATGGAACCTTTCAAAATTTTTTCTTTCCATATAAATTTTAAATCTATTTTCTAGATTTCCCCCTGTCCCTCTTTACCCAAATCAAGAGGATGTGAAAACTTATTGAATATTCATTTTGTTTAAAATTTAAACACCAACTTGTTACATTGATTATTTTGGGTAAAAAGAATATATTTATTCAATGGCTAAGGAGGAAAAACATTGGAGGGGTGGCACAGTAATTTCAACGGGAGCATATATGCCTTTTGTACACCGTTAGCTTTATTTACCAACCGCTAGGTCCTTTAAACCGATACAGCATTAAAAATTTAGAAAAGGGAAAACCTCGAACAAAAAAAATCGCTAAATTCTCCTCACCAGGTACATGTAATGTTTTAATTTTAAATAGCTGCCCCAAACTTTTAAAAATTCTCTTGCATCGTTTAAATTTCAGCGACTCTTTTTTTGTCGACACAATTTTTGCTTCCTAGAACCATTTGAAAGGGATACCTCATTTCAGACCAAATTACAGTGTCGTAATATTTTCTCGTAACTATTTTTATAAAATTAGCAAAATTTGACCCTACATAAATGGTGTTAATTCCCAAAACTGAGGAAAGGTACGTGTTTTAAATTGGAGACACTTTAGCCTTAGACAAAACAAGAGAGAAACACTCTTACTTTGAAGGAAAGAAAACGCTCCATATGCCATTCAGGGTAATCTTTACTTTTTTTGCCCTTTTAAATTTTACGAATTCTAATCATTCCCTCAGGGCATATTGGCACTTTGCTTTTTTATTAGCCTCCCCTAAGTCATTAAATTTCTTTTCATTGACGCACCCCGGGAATTTTTTTCACAAAAATTTTTTGCTCATTCCTTACTAATGGACTTTTACCTGGAGTTACCTGGAGAGAGTTCCGGGGAAACGCCCCCCCCCCCGGCCCTGTGACCAGGCCTCCTGGTGGATCAGACCTGACAACCAGGCGTTGCGCTGGCTGCCGAAAACCAAACGTACACCAAAAACCTGGCTGGCAGGAACCGACTTTAGGGCTTGTCCAGTGCCACTTGAAGACTGCCAGGGTCTTTTGGGAACCCCCTTATGTAGCTGGGGGGCAGTTGACAGCTCGGCCCCTGACACTTTTTGTAGGGTCTTTTAACGTGTAGTGACACCCCTTTTTTCTTTGGGGGGGATTTGCATCGTTTTTCCAAGTCTTTTGTTCTATGGTGATTTCGTGTGCAAGTTTAGTACTAGTCCCCTGGATTTTTCCCGTGTAATAATCTTTTCTCTCCCGCCTGCGCCCCGGAATACATTTTAGGAACCCAAGCGCTCCCTAATTTAAATTTTTTTTTTTCCTTTTGGCGGCCGTGAAAGGGTTCTCTTACTTTTTTAGGGCGCAATTTTACCACCTTGAAAAGGGGTGTTTGTGGCAGCAATATTCCACCTAATAGAACAAGTGATGAAGAGTGTCATCATGGCTGGCCTCCCCTTTTTTAAGGTTCCATTATCCACCTTTATTTTTCTAGCAATGCGATTGTACAAAGTTATGGTCCTTGAAGGTGAATCCTCCACATGATCACTCCCAGGGGCTTGACGTTGTGTTTCGCTCTATTTTGTGGCCAAAATTTTTTTGTACTCTGAGAAGATTTAATTTCCCCGTGTTTACCTATCTGAGTAATTGAAATTTCTCATCGTTGAACTTCATATTGTTTTCTTGCAGCCCCCTGAAAATTTGGGTTTATGTCCCCCTGGACCTTGCAGTGTCGCAAGGGGACACTGTCATGCAGATTCGGGGGTTTACTGCAAAGGAAGTCCGGTTCTGGGCTGACTCCTTGTCTATGTCGGGGTATGAGGTGAGGAACAAGATGGGGGGCGAGTACTGGCCTTGTGAAACAGAGCTTTTACCGTAGCGCCTCGGACTTTACTCGTTGACGATTACTCCTTTCTTTGTGAGGAAATTTTAAAATCCATCGACCCACTTTTCCTGTTATTCCTTTAGCACCATTTTGTGCGTATTTTGCCATGGTCCCTTTCGAAGGCTTTTCAAAATCGATATATACATCTGCATTCTTTTTGTCTTTAGGCGTTAGGACTTTTTGTAGTGATCCCAAAATTTAGACGACAGGGGCGACCTGTTTTTTAAACCCATGTTGCCCTGGGGGTTTTGTAATGATGGGGTTTTTAGATGGGTGGTGATCTTGCTTCTTAGGACCCTTTCAAAGATTTTTGATATGGGATGTTAGTGTATCGGGCTGTAGTTCTTGCTGTTGCTTTACTGCCCCCTTTGTGGGGGGGCTATGTCTGTTGTTTTAATTAATGTGGGACGACCCCGTTCCATGCTCCCCTCCATAGGGTGGAAAAGGCTGATAGGGGCTTCTTGCAGTTTTTATGAACACAGAGTTCCGAGTCTGCCCTGGGGCCCGAGGGGGGCATGATTTATCGCCTTTTCGAAGTCATTTGGGGTCAGGATAAAATCGGGTAGGGTTGTGTTAACCAAATTTTGTGGGCCCCTCATAAAAAATT